GCATGAAGCTAAATCATGACAAGTGTGTCTTTGGTGTTCGCGCGAATAAGTTGCTAGGGTTTTTGGTCTCCGATAGAGGGATTGAAGCCAACCCGGAAAAAATTGATGCCATCCAGCAAATGATGCCACCAAAGAGCGTACGCGAAGTACAAAAGCTCATGGGGCGAATTGTGGCACTCGGTAGATTTTTATCAAGAGCAGCCGAAAGAGGTTTGCCATTTTTTAAGACCCTTCGAGGGGCTGGCAAGTTCAATTGGACACCAGAGTGCCAGACAGCCTTCGATGAGCCCAAGCAGTGTCTGCAAAGCCCGTTGGCATTGGTCAGTCCCGCAGCGGGTAGCGAATTGCTACTTTATCTCGCAGCTTCGCCGATTGCTGTCAGCGCGGCTCTAGTACAGGAAACTGAAGTGGGCACCAAACCAGTGTATTCTATGTCCAAAGCACAGCAAGGGTAAAGACCAGATACGTGGAAATGGAAAAACTGGCATATGCCCTGGTGACGGCTTCTAGAAAGCTAAAACACTATTTCCAAGCCCAGAAGATCACAGTGCCTTCGCAATACCCCATAGGCGAAGTACTGAGGGGCAAACAAATCACAGGGCGATTGAGCAAGTGGGCAGCCAAATTGTCTCCTTTCGACCTACACTTTGTTGCTCACACGACCATCAAATCTCAAGTCCTAGCTGACATCTTAGCCGAATGGACGCCAGCGTTCGCCCCCAAGCCTGAGCCGACAAAGTGTTGGTATTTCTTAGTGACACTTAAGAAAAAGCATTTATACTCTCATTCATAATTATCTAAGCTAAGTGGAAAGGATATAGAAAGACCATATTCCTATACTTCTAGTATACATACATATTATACATACAACCTAGATATATCATTACTTAGCTAATACCCTCTTTCCGATGCCCTCCTGGTGTTTCAAGAAGCCACCCCTGATTGTCGAGTTTCTTACGACAATCTGTCATGACCATCCAATGGGGGCTAAATATGGAGGAGTACCCTCCCCAGGAAATTAACTTAGGACTATATACACGCGCAGAGGAATACCCGTACTGAGCTGTCACCATCAGCGGCCCACCTCGCTTCCGCAGCATATAACCCCAAATAATGATATCCAGTAATCTAAACACCACGCTTAAATTACCAAATACTACTCTAATATCATCATCATGACATAGAGTCATCCTAAATACGATCATCGTACCCACACCATTGTATCTCTCAGATAAGCTAGCATCATAATAAATATAACTCGAATATATAGTAAAGTTGGTATTTATATACTCGGAAAGTAATACAATACCAGAGTAGTATAAAGAAGAATATTCTAATAAAAGTACAAGTCTTACAAAAGAATGAAAAGCTACTAGAGCCATACCTGAATTCTTCCGAAGACTCCGAGGACTGAAGATTCTATTCTATTTCTATTCCACTATACTCTAGAAACTATACTAAACTTGAGAGATGAAATGAACTTCTTGCTTGAGGTGTGTCTTGAAATGGAGAATGAGAGGGCTTTAAATAGGCAGGTAATGACGGTTATGGCAGTTGGAAAGGTCGGTAATACCCTCCAACCGCCATAGGGAGTCCATCTAAGCCGTCCAACCAAAACCTGGATCGAATGGCGCCACGGCTGGTTCGGCCGAACCCTGGGCTGGCCCAACCGACCCACAATCTTGTTCGTTCTTCTCCGTAGACTTGTGAATTTTGGCCCAATTGGTCGTGTCATTTCTGAGTTCTTGGCCCACTTATCCATAAGTCCGATTCCTGACATCGTCCGATTGATTGATCGTCTATTTTGATGTCGATTCTCATTCTCTACAAGAGGTTAGTACTCCTATTGCTAGTTGAATATTTATTATTAAACACAAATATGCATTGCAAGCATAACTGGTTCTCCTTTATTTTGGTAGTATTGGCGGTCGAATCGCTAACGACCATCACCAGTCATGTGATTCGGTGCTGGATTCGAAAATTTCTTATTTCTAACCCTAACACGAAGGCCTCGACATCTTCTTGTTCGTAGGTATTTAGGCAGCATACTCCCCGTTGAGACGACAATTGCTTTTCATGGTATACTCAATTTACTTTTTAGTTAAAATGCTTTTTGTTCTACTTCGTCATTTATATTTTCATGCTAGTGTTTGAAGTAGTAGTTTTGGTAATAATGGTATATGTCAATTTATGGGAACTTTGTTTAAATCGTTGGCAATTGGATGTCTTTTTCAAAATCTTTTATTTATTCTTGATTTTTCTTGGGGAGAATTGGAGGTTAATTTGAGGGAGAGTTTATGTTTTTTCTGTGAATTCATGTTTATTTTTATGCATTGCTCTTAAATCTGAAAATAAAGAACAATGAGAAAGAAGTGCTTTAATTTATACCTCTAGTATATTCCTGTGCATGATAGCAATATAATTAAGATCTCTTTGTCGCTAAAATAGCTTGTATGTGTTCTAATCTTTTCAAGAGGCTTAAATATTGCTTTTGAGGGAGATGATACATGACAATTAAATTGTTTTACTTGAATTAAGAAAATATGTTGAAGCTAGTGCTTAGTTTGGATGACTAATACTTACATATATGTTTGTTGGATTGTTACTCCTCAAACTGCTCTTCGATTGTTTCAAACGCTACAAGTGCAAATATTTCTTGCATTTACTTTTATGAGAGGAAAATGAACACTGAATCTTTGGAAACATTATTGACGACAAGGACATATTCATGGTAAGGAAAATAATGTGTGTCAAATCCTTGGAAACAGTTTTGACGAGAAGGACGTAGCCGGAATAATTGAGAGGATTATGCTAAATTGAGCGCAAAAGGCTCCAATAAATGTTGAAAGTTCTCTTGGTTATTTTTTGTAATGGACTTAATTTGAGAAAGAGTAATAATGCAATAAGTATATGTGTAGGGATTTTTTTTCAAACTATGTTCTAGTGAATATGTTGCATTATAAATCGTTTAAAGTCATGAATCTTAATTGTTGATTTGATCTTATTAGTAATATTTTTGGTTCACGATTATATTCTAGTACATGTTTGTTAACTAGTTGATGAATTTATCTCTTTTGTCATGCAACACGATCACGAGTTGCTTTAGGTACACTTCAAAGCTCTCAAAAAAAATCAGAAAATAGAAAAAAAATGGTTACTACAAGTGGCAATCATGACATCATGGCATTTATGTTTTATTAGTTATTATTTCTCTTTTGTATTCTTGATGAATTCATTATCAAATGGGAGAAATATACAAAATGCACGCTTCTTGAAAGGGAGAATTGAGTTGTTTCAATTTTAAAAGATTGTTGATTTTGTGTTTTGATTGCAAATATGGGGGAGAAATTACTTCTTTTGAAAAGGGGGAGAGTTTTCTTTTTCACTTTTGAGAAGAGAGAGATTTTTCTTGTTTTCACTTTTGTGATTTGAGCCGTTTATGCTTTTTGATCAGTTTATGTTAATTTTGTTTTCAAAAACACCAATTTACATTTTTTTAAAAATTTTGCCAATGTGTTTATCAAGGTGTTGATTTAATCTATGTGATGACTGATGAATAATTGTCAAAAAGTGAGTGTTTTGCGAAATTCAGTAAATATTGTTTTCTTCTGATAGTGTACAGTGCAGTTGGCATTGGGAGGTTGGTCAGACCGGGTAGGTGATAGGGTGGCCTGACGGGGTTGGAGTCGGTTTTGAGTAGTTTCTAAGGAATTTCTAAATTGCTTTATGTTTATGACTTCTAGATAGTTTCTATTTGTATGTGATATTATTGTGTGCTAATGTGAGTCAAGTTGGTGCGAATTGTACTCGGATATGGAGTTTTTTGTTGTTCATGTGCAGGTGTTGCTTGAGGCTATGAGAGTATAGCCGGTGATGGATAGGGGCTAGGCTTGGGAGAAGTTGAGGTTCAGACTTGTCACTAGATTGGAGTATGGAGTTGTATGGGGATGTTGTTCCTAGTTTGGTAGGTTCCTATGTGATAAGTAGTCTAGTTTAATTGGATTCATGGCTAGGGGAGCCACGTTGTGGTATAAATAAATGAGGGGTTGAAGCTAGAAGATATCGACTTTTAGGGAGAGAAAAGTTAGGGTCTGCTTTGAGGTTTCAATCAAGTACGAGAGTTGAGAGAGAAGTGTTTTAGATCCCTTTGTAAACACATATTGATGCAATAAAGTGATCTACTTTCAATAGTTTTATCGATACGTATTTTTCTAGATCCCGACAGTTTGAACGGAGGCAAAAGAGCGGTCTGTCCGGAGACAGAGCGGCGGTCTAACCGACAGCATCTAGGCAGTCTGACCGGCGGCTAGGGATTGATTTGTGATTTAATCTGTGTAACTTAGCTTCATTAAGTTTTGAGAGTAACTTTTATTCATCCCCTATTCCCGGTATGCTTGGTTTCTTGCGTTCAAATCTACACCGCAGACTGCAGGGGTGATGGGAGGGAATTGCACTGACGATGTTGCTTCGTTCTGCTATCATATGGCAGATCCGTCAATTCGCATCTAGAAACCCTCCTAATTAATCAGCAACCTAAATCAGATCGACCATCTCACTACAAAACCAGCAGCAAGTAGGCACAAGGTATGGAACTATACTTAATTAACTACTTAATCGCCTGGTCCCAAAATTTAGAATAACCAAGATCTACCTAATGACGAGTTTGGTCAGAAAATTCATACATGTACCGTAACATGCATGACTAGTACGTCACTATCAAAACTTGTTTTGCTATACCTTCTGTTTGAAAGTGGAAATGAAGCTCCTACTCCTTGTTTGCTAGTAGTATACAGTGAACCTACTAGCTCCTTAGCTCCAACAAGTGTACTGCATGTCAGTGCTACCTAGCTTGCTCTCTATTATGCTCGAACTTTGTGACTAGTTCTCACTATTTGTTTCAAAGTATCACAGGTAATTTGCAGCTATCTTCCTTGATTTAACTCACATTGATTAGTTTACTATCGAGTTCGAGATTTGCGGTCTTGCAGGATTACGCGGGAGACTTCAAGCGCAACAATGGCACGAGGGCCCTTGGACCTGTGGAATGCATGGGCATCGCAGATTCTGGTGCTCCACAGCCTCACGCTTCAGGTCGTGCTCCTCGTCTTTGCTGGGATCCGCCGGCGTGAGGCCCCCGGCGTGCTGAAGTTTCTCCTCTGGCTGTCGTACCTGCTGGCTGACTCCACCGCGATATACGCCCTCGGCCACCTCTCCATTGGCAGTGCAGCCCGCGAGCACAAGCTGGTGGCCTTTTGGGCACCATTCCTGTTGCTTCACCTTGGTGGCCCGGACAACATCACCGCCTATGCCCTGCAGGACAATGAGCTCTGGCTGCGTCACCTACAGATTCTCGTCGTTCAGGTCCTCAGAGCTGGGTATGTCCTTTACAAGCATATCATCATCCGCAGCGAGAAGACTGTCCTCCTGCTGGCTACCATTTTGATGTTCATTGTCGGCCTTGTCAAGTACAGTGAGAGGACATGGGCGCTTAGGTGCAGCAACTTCGGTAGCATCCGGAACTCTCTTAAGGAGTTACCTGGTAATCAACTCCGTTGGTACAAAGGGTACCTACAAAGTGAGGATTATCAGAATTCCAGTGATGAATTCCTTTTGCAGCGAGCTCACTCCTTGTTCCACATATGCAAGCGTGGGATAGTAGACTCGGTGATCGATGTTGATGCAGATAAAGATGACACTGGAACTACAAAGATAATCAAGAAGCTCAGGAAAGAGCCCACACTGTGGAAGGTGATGGAGCTTGAGCTGTCCCTGATGTATGACATACTCTACACCAAGGCAGCCGTGATCCACACCTCGATTGGCTACACCATCCGAACCTTGTCGTCGATCGCCATAGCCACCTCCTTCCTGCTATTCCATTTCAGTGGCAGCAAAGACAACCATAGGGGAGTGGACATCATCGTCACTTATGTCTTGTTGGGTGGTGCCCTTGTGATGGAGACAACATCCCTTCTAAGCGCACTAGGTTCGAGCTGGGCGCTTGACTTCCTGTGTGCCATGCGATGGAGTTGGCTTCGGCATGCGGCCCTTTGCACTGGAAGGTGGCATCGACTTCGCAGGATGGTTCTATCTCTTCGCAGGCTTATCACTACCATGACGGCAGGCTACTTGAACAGATCAAGGGGGTGGTCAGGCACCATAGGGCAGCTCAACTTGCTTAGCTTCCGTGCTGCTCAGATCAATGCAACAGATCGCTGCCTTAGGAAGCTAGCCATGATGCTAGGGATCGACGAGTGGTGGGACAGCACATGTTACTCTTGGATTGAGGAAGTCCCAATGGAGGTGAAGGAGGGTGCGGTTGATATGGTCTCCAGGAATGATCTCAACACCATGGGCTTGCTCAGGCATAGGTGGGGAGAGGTGGCACTAGATAAGAAGCATCCTGGGCTGTTAGAAGAACTACAGGGATGGCGACATGGTGTCGACTTCCACGAGAGCATCATTACATGGCACATCGCAACTGACCTCATCCTCGCCGAGAGAGAGAACAAACAGCCTATGGATGTGATGGAAAGAACAGGAGGCAGCGACAGAGCCCAACGTGTACATTCGATCAGGGCACTATCCAACTACATGATGTTTCTCCTTGTCACTCGCCCTGACATGCTTCCTGGCCTTCCTCAGAACTGGTTGTACCAGCGGACTTGTGATAACCTCGATGAAATATTCAAAGAGCATCGTGGGCGCCTCATGTCTTCCAAAGGCAAGGTTAATAATAGGATCTTCACAGTGCTCAGTGCGTTGCTCCGAGGCCATAATAGAATCAGGCCATTTGGACTCAAGCAGACGAATGAATTTGCCAAAATCCTACTGATGGCACTCAAGCATATGTCCGGCAAATTTGACCCTTTGGTTCCTCGCCTCACATTTGCTCATCAGATTTCTCAAATAGTGTTAAATTGGAAGGAAGCTGACCCAGAGGATGTACTCTTTGATTTGTGGACGGATTTTCTTATCTACGCAGCCAACCGATGCAACAGGGAGTCCCATGCTAAGAAGCTCAATTCTGGCGGTGAGTTTATGACTCTCGTGTGGTTGATGGTAGAACACATACATAAAACAAAACCAAAAAAATGAGGCGTAGTCCAGCATATTTATGTATTTATCTATGTATGCAATAATAATTATGCATTTTGAGGAAATTTTCATATATGTCTTCAAAAAATTTAGTTATTGTTTAAAAAAAACACGGTACAAACATGCATGTGCTCAATGCGTGCGTCCCACCCTTATAAAGATACACATACACACCCTATCCCTATAAGCAGTTATGAAATACTAAACCGATACATCTTGAAATTGACAAGGTCACCATTGGTGTCTTGCTACCCCTATGATTGAAAGCGCTATATGTCACAGAAAAAAATAATTAGCCGTAAATAAAAGTAGTTATGTGAAGTGTAATACTTAAACCCGGATGAACGGATAAACCTTGAGCTATATTCAGTTGTTCACCTCGCACACTTCAACCTTGAAGGATTACCACATATGTCAAAATGACGCCAAGAATTTCAAACTGTGTCAACGTTTATCATTTCGAACACATGAACAAAGAACAATGTCCCGATTTCAATATGCGAACAAATTTGAAGGATGTAAAATACTCTCTTTCCACCAAAACTATAGTTTCATCCAGCTTTCTTTTTTTAGATAATGGAAATGGATTACATCTCCGGCTTCTGTCATGAGACACACAGCCATAAGTTTAATAGTAATAAAAAGGTAAGATAAAAGTAAGTCAAAATGAGAAATAAGGTGATGGGACAAATCCCCAACTCCCCTTTATTATTGACTAGCGTTAAACCACATAAAATATTTTAGCTAGCAATTCTTATGGAACTACGCCACCCATAGTGAAATAAGACACCCTTCTTGCATTAATAAACAAACAGTAAATCCTATACATATCACGAGAATGCTCCTTCTCGGTTGCGCGGGGGGAGGGGAAAAAAATCGGCGTCCCCTCCCCCATACGTNGACCANAGCCCTTGCCCACACATGTCCTTTCCACTTACTTATTCCCACACTCTTNACAATACCAATTTTGGACCCTTATTAGGAAATTTGTTTATTTTTTGTTCACCAAAAATGTTTCACCTAGTGTACTCACATTGTTTCACTATGTATAGATCTAATGTTGTAGTGAAATGACATATTCCATTGCAAAAAAAACCCACATATTTTGGAAACCTCCTATTAAGGGAATTCGTTTTATTTTTTGTTCCACCGAAAAATGTTTCACCTAATGTACTTATAATGTTTCACTATGTATGGATCAAATGTTGCAGTGAACTGAAACATTCTTTCGCTATTTGCTTAAACATTGTTTTTATATAAGGTGAAACAACACCCGATTTAAACGAGTGAAACATTTTCGACCTACTTAGTGAAACAATTCCGATATACCTGGTGGAACATCGTGCAACATTTAAAAATAATTCAATAATAAGCTAAAAATTTGTTTTTGTCGGAATATATGCATGTGTGGTCTTGTTTTGAAGATTTAATTGCAACGAATTTAATGGTGCAATCGGATCATGATTTGGATAAGTAATTTAAGAGAAAAATCAGTTTAAAATAATTTTGCACGTAAATCAGGCGTTGACGTCAGCGCCCGATTTTTCTCCAAACCGATCGGACGCCCAACCCATAGACTCATCCTACATATCAAATTAAATGCCGAGACCATGTATTTCTGCCAGCAGCTCAATACATCAACACAATAATTAAACAGGAAGGAGTTAGGATGCGTTCGGAACACTCCTTCCCCAACTTCTATTCTCTCGTTATTCACGCACACGCTCCCAACGGTAAGTTATTTGTATATTTTATGTATCAAAGTTGTTTTAAAAATTTCATATTAATCTATTTTTTATTTTTTTTAAGATAATTCTTAATTAATCATACTCTAATGAGTCACCCCATTTTTCGTGAGGGAAGTCTAACTCCCTCTTAAGCTACTCTGCTCGACCCATTGGGTATTAATTAAGAATAATTATTGTTGCTCTCTAATGATAGTATAATATTATAATACTACCAGTGGTATTAAGGGTAAATCAATAGTCATCTAATACAATGATTAGGGGTAACTTTGTCGTTTATGTTTTTTTCCGGCTAGATCAATATGTGATTATCCATTGTGTTGATATCGCTTATATTCCATCAAAAAAGAAAAAAAGGAAATAAATGTTTAGTCACAGCTAAATGACAATTATATCTCTCTGCGCCCTCTTTTACAATAATGCCCCTCCACATTTCTACTACCGCTAACTTGGATGGTAGTATAAATAGATCTAAACCTTTCGATCAAATAAGATCAACGGTTTAGATTGTTTTCTACTACAAATAGAGAGTACTGGAGCATCACTCATATTTTAGAGGTGGAAGTTGGGCAACTTAAACTTTTAAAGGAAGCTAGCGAGGCTAACCAATAGAGGAAAACATATAGAAAATCTAGTCTATTTGTGTCACACGGGTGGGCTGAAAAACTTAGTACTGTATATTGTATATGTCCCACATCAGAATTGTACTCCCTCCGTCCCAAATGAGTTGTCGCTTTAGAATTTCAATTTTGTTCCAAAATACTTGTCACATTAGAGTATTTTTTGTCACATCAATCATTTCCAATTTAAAACTTTCTTCATCCTACCCCAACTACCTTCTTACTCCCATTCATGCACCATTTAATAGGGGTATTATGGTCATTCTATTTAAACTTTAAATTTTGCTAAACAACCTAGCACGACAACAATTTAATAATAAGTTTTAAAAGAAGTTGCATTGTTTTAAGAAACATGTTTGTCTTGTAGATAATTTAAAAGAAGTAGCGTAAATAATTAAGCGTGACTGTTACGTGGCTTTTTATGTGAAACGTTATAATGTATCTTGTAATAGTCATGCATGCTAAAATTTAATGGGATAAATGATGCTATAAGTTAAATTTAAACTTATTTAAGGATATAGTTTAGAATTTTGCCTTGAAAACAGGCATGCGAGTCTTTTTCTCTATTTGTGTTACATAGTACAATTATAAATGATCGATGATAGGGGAGACAATAATGCAATGTATTGAGAAATCAAACTTTGCAAGGTGTTCAATGTAAATAAGTAAGAATTTATGGGTACTTTGGCCAATTCTCACTGATCATCCGAGTGCACTATCTTTCCCGAGACATCAGGAGAAACCTTGTAATTCTGGTTATTTCCAACAATCCTTCGTCCTACGGCTAAGATTCATTCTAGTGTACATTTTAGGACTGAAGTGAGTAAAAGGAAAAAGTTCTCTGTGCGTCCCTGACTATAGGTCAAGTTTAATTCACATCCCTCAACCGAAAAACTGGATATAGAGTAGTGCCCCAGCTTATAAAACCAGTGCAAGTCAACTCCCTTGATAGTATTGATGGTGGTTTCGGCCGACAATGCGACACGTGGCACATTATCCAACGTGACACCTACATGGCACTTATGTGCAATTACGGTTAGTGAAAAAAAGTAATTTGTGGAATGTATTCAACGCGGGCCAGGTCGTGTCCATGATGGCCCATCGATTCTCAGAATCATCGCCGCGGACTGGTCGGCCGATGGTTTGCAGGCGTTCCCACCCAACCCAGGTACCCAACAGGCCGCGACACATCGTCTCTTCCTGGGCCAACCGCCCACGGCCTTTCTTGCGGCTTGCCCCGTCGACGGAATAAGTTCACTTTAAGTCCTTCATCTTAACATCAGAGTTTGGATTATGTCCCTGAACCATATACCAGAAGTCTTACCCACCCCCCCCGGGTAAAACCAGGTTAAATTAGGTTCTCCGATAGTATGGATGACAGATTTTGTTGACATCGAAAGTTGACCCAACCCACTCATGCTAACTAGGCGTTTACATGGTAAAAAAAAAAGTGGGTCCATATGTCATCCTCGTTCTCTTTCTCTCTTTCTTTGTCCTGCTCTCGGCACCTTCAGAGGCTACTTCCGGCTCGACTACTCCCTGCGCCAGTCCCTGCCTCCGCCTAACAGGGCGGGAACACTGTAGGAGTCGGAGCAATGCTTGCGGAGCACACTGCGGCGGCAAGCTGCTTCAGGCTCTGGACCAACAGCTTGGAGACGACGATGGCTGGCCAACTTCCTTCACCAGCTTCCGCTTCTCAGTTGCGCCTTCCAATAACACGCCACCTCTCGATCTAGCACCACAACGTCGATCTCGCACTCTCCACCATCATGGTTCCGTGCCTACGAAATGATCTTACAACTGGTAGTCGCTCATCGATGTACTTCGAGCATCGGTGGCCCTATCCCCTACTTTACCGTTGGCCTTGCCCGTTGCCCAGGTCTATTGAGTAGGACCCTTGGCCATGACGAGACTCACCAGGGCCTGCTCGTCCCTGACCTTCTCACCGATCTAGTCATCCACATATCCCCTCTCGGGATCTGGAGGCTACCGTCATCACCGACCCATGTTGGACGCAATCTCTGCTCTGCCGTCCACACCTCCAAGTCACCGCCAACTTCTCTTCGTCACCTGAGCCGACTGTGCGACTCCGGTCCACCGGCCATCCCCATGACAACATCTCTTGTGCTCCACTAGGTCTCCCTCTACTATTCAACATCCGCAAATCGGGAAATCGGTGACACGCTGTGGAGGTGGAACAGCCTCCCGCAAGGGGGCTGCCGCCCCTCTTCGCGTTTCCGCCGCGCCTCTCCATGCCGCCCACTACCCACCGCCTTTAAAAAGATGGGAAGAGAGAGGAAGAAGTAAAAAATGGTCACTAACATGTGGGTCCCACGTGGGTCCCAAGTTGTCTCAATAAACCACTAAGCTAAAACCGAACACAATACTGTGTGGGACCTCGGGTAATCCGGTTTTATAAATTGAGAAACCCGTTATATATTACGGATGGACATAATCCGAACTCAACATCAAGATGAGGGAGAAAAAATGAACTTATCCCCCCCGTCCCAAAAGGCGGCCCAAGTCCAACACAGCAGGCGCCAGGCGGAGCCAGGACGAGAGGCGAAGCGGGGGCCTTCCTCGTTGACTGCCTCGTGTTCCCCGTGCGAGCGGAGCGGCTGCCTACCTAGTACCTCCCCCCCCCCCCCCCCCCCCCCTCCTTCTCTGCGCCTCCTCCTCGCCGCCGGTTCCGCCCCTCTCTCGCCTCGCCTCGGCCCTCCATCCCCCCGCCTCCTCCGCGGGTCGCAGGTGAGCCACCAACCTGCCATCGTCACCATAATCATCTCCCCGTCCTCGATTTCTCGTTTTTTTTTTTTGGGGGATTAGCTTGTGTGTCAGAATTGGTGGTAGCTGCTTCGATCTGATTGTCGTGTGTGCTCGCGTTCGGGGAGGCCGTGTGATCTGTTAACTCCCTCTGCGCGTATAGATCTGGATCGATTGGGACGGAGAGGGAGGAGGCGGGTGGACAGCTTCCGTTACTTTCACTTTTTTGCTGGTGCAAAGGAGGTTTAGAGCATCACCAACAGTGCCCTTATTTCATCCCCAATTCTGGGTAGACTGTACACATTTTGTTCGTGATACTATTAGTTTCTAACTTTCTATTGGTACGGTGATTAGCTTTGGGACCGTGAAGGATCATGCACATTTTTAGAGTTATATATGTTTGCTTGTATAGAGCTCGCTCGCGTTTGTTTTGTTTTATTTAGTGCTTGTTCGTCTGGTTTCCTAATTTTATTTTTACCCTGTACCATGTGCGTGTTGTTCTTTTGCTTTTGCTTATACTGATTCTGCGTGTCTCCTCAATTTGGATCAGGGTGTCGCGCTTGGACGAAGGGCAGCTTTTCACAGCATGACTTAAAAGTGGAAATGAGTGCACATCCCAAAAACGATTGCTTGATTTGCAGTTCTTGGAGCTGTGCACTACTATTTTGTCCAATTTCACTACATCTGCCTCTTGTTTGAGAGGTATTGCTGCTTCCACTTATGCCTTTGTTATAAGTTACAACCTGTGATGTGAAAAACAGCATATACTTCAACATTTTTTTTAGATAATGGAAATGGATTACATCTCCGGCCTTTGCCAATGGGTACACAACCAAAAGGTCTTAGAAGTAAAAAGGAGAAATAAAATGAAAGAGGTGATGGGACAAATCCCAATTCCTGCCAATGAAAAGATGAATTGAAATACTGTTTCCAAAATCACATATATTCTAGGCTTCTAGCACGAAATTTTATAGGTGCTACGCCATCCAAACTTCAACATATTTGCATATACTTCAACATATATATTTGTGCAATTAAATTCAAGGATTCACTTATACAGATGCTCGTGGAGTCAATCTAAACTATTCTACTTCACCCTTGACCTTCTACTGTCATGTTAAATTTTATGAGTTACCTTTCAATATTCTCTTAGGTGGTTCTGCCAATAGTTTTCTGTATATAATTATTCATATTTACATTTTTTTAAGATAAATGGCTTTCGGCTAGCTTTTACTGAAAGCATACGAGTTTGATACAAAAGAAAGAAAAAACAAAAGCTGGGGTTGCCAGCTTTTAACATATTAAATTGTTGGCATAATCATATTTACATCACAACTAAATTGTTGTGTTGATAATCTTGTCCTCTTGTGTGCGTCCTATCCCCACACCACGACGCCGTGGACCATCAGCGGCTGCTCGCCATGCGGACGAGGCTGACGGAGAGTGAAGAGGAGTGCCCTTGGAGCCTAGAAGGGTAGTATTAGTAGAAGCCTAGGTAGGGTGAGGACTGGAATGAGGAGGAAGAAGAGGAGGCGAGGCAAATTAGGGGTTCTCCAAATCGAGTCATTAGTAAGCCTTTTCTGCCGCTCAAATTTTATTTTATTTTTTTCAATCGCATGATAGTGTACTAGGTGCTGCTGCATGTGAGCCCCACTGTGCTGGCGCAGCCAAGTGCCATGGTACGGGTCAACACAACGCTCTTCTCATCACACGCGGGCCCCTCGGGAGGAGGCTCCCATTCTCTCCTTGTGCTCGGTGCACGCGACGCTACTGAACTTATGAGGGGGGTGCGCCCAATTCACCTGCCCTGGGCGACCGCGGCCTCATCGTTTGTCTGTCCTCGGTCTCATTTCGTGGTGCGTATGTGAGGCGCTGGGTGTGTGGGTGGATCTGGGTCCAGTTTTAGCTGTCTCATTGCTCCGATGCCAGTGGGGTGTTTGATGAAATGCCGATCGCGTCGCGGCGACCCCTGAGCGGGAGTTCTCGTCGGGGATGGGGATGGATTTGCCTGTTTGTGTTTAGTCGGTATGCAGTCGCAGCGAGCGCGGTTTTCCGTGAATCTGCGCGGCCATGAATTTTAGGGCGTGATTGGGTAGTCTGCTAGTTCATAGGTTTAAGAGGACCTTACTGGCTTTACCCTATGCAGACATCCCTTTAAACTGTGAATGCGGACCTTTTTTGAGATGGCTCGAAATTTAGTCATTCCGTTGGATCTTGATGTCTAACTGATTACACATCAATGTGGTATACTCATTATCGTCATCCGAATTTAATACGAGTTCAGCATTTGCTATACTACATTTTTCTAGATATGATGATTTTTCTTCACCGCATATCGATTAAGCGATCTAAATCTTGTAAAATATGTTTTGTTACCCCAAGTTCTCCTATACTTTTCACACAATTCTTTTTGTTTTTAGGGGTCTATTCATGTCTAATGTCATAAGATACTTTGTTGCCTGTGTAGGTGCTAAAATTGACAGCCTGTGCTTTATCGCCACAACTGTGGGGATCCGTTGAGCAATTATCACGTTCCAAATTCACTCAGTCTTTTGAAGGTTTGACAATTCCGATATTCTCAATAGCACATCGAAGTGCAAGATGCCAAAAATAAAGAGCCTGTCTAATGCTTGTAAAGTATCATTTTCTCCGGATGGGCCCATATCCGATGAAGCACTTGAGAGAGTTCGTGCATTGTTAGGTCAGTCAAACTTATATAATTTATAATCTTTGGTAGTAATCTCACCTTTCCAAGCATATTTTTCATCCTGAACTCAATATTGGAATAGTTTATGCACTCTTGCTAAAATGTTTGTTTTGGAAGAAAGATCTCTGTTGCTTGAATGTTTGTTATGGAAGACGACCATCTTGCTATGAATTTAAAGATTTGTCATTTCGTGCTGCAATGGCATGTTTTTTGCTGCTAAAATGGCATGAATTTAAACTTGCTTAAATGGTGATTAGCAAGTTTTGAAATAACTCTATAGGTTCCGGATTTATCGGTGATGGCAAATCTTGTCCTCTTGTGTGCAGTTCGCTTGATCTTTTAAGCATTTTTTTAGTTGCAGAGTGGTTTAGCTGGGCCTGATATTCAGCCAAAATCAAAAAGGTTGAGCACACAATAATATTGTCGTAAAGAATTCTGTTGAAATGTTGGTATCACTGTAGAGCTAGGCTTGTAAGCACTTTTGGCATGTAGCCAAGTACTCTGAAGTTCAACTTCAGAAGAATACACAGCAATGTCCTTGACCCACTATGACTATTGTGGCGGTCCTTCTTGGTTATTCTGTAAACCGAGTTATATTGAATTCTTCAGCTTATTTATAGATTCTTGTGTTCCTTGCAAGTAGTATTCCTACTTTTTATTTTTATTAGTAGAATCTTGTATATAATTTTTGGTTCATGTGGCTCAAATTGGGTTTCATCTCTTGTTTACCTCAACATGCTTGGGACTAAAAGCTCTTGTTGAATCCTTCGCTAGTCATAGGTGCTCACAGCAGTGGTGCCCTTTGTGCTTGCATTATTGATTCTTTGCTGCTGTGCATGCATGATTCTTGATTTACTTCATGTCTTGTACAATTTTGTATTGGTGAACAAGCCATCTGCAACTAGTTTTCTTATTTCTTGTTATGAGCAACATTTTTTCCATCACAATTATGATGGCTGGATGAGTAATTTAAATTGTTGGATGTTGGTGATTTCATAGTTAACTGTAGATCATCCTCTGTCATATCTCTATTTTACTTTTACCATTTTGGGCTGCTATTTTGCACGGTAGATTCTATTGTTTGAAACAAGTCTCCGACTTGCTTTTCCTAGTTACTAGTTCTTTTAAACAATAGCAAATGTTCAAGCATTGCCAAGATATAAACCAGTAACTTTTGAGATGTAGATTTTCTCATAGTCTTAATGGTTATTATTACCAATTAAGAAGTATGTCCAACCATGTAACTAGGACGATTTATCTCTGCCTGTAGTATGAGTTGATTAATTTGATTTATTTAATGCTGATGCCTGACAGTATACCTTACTGCTAGTTCCATGCATTTTATCTCTGCCAGATTGTTAATATCATGATTCAAGAGCAAGATGTTACTGTTTGCTTAGATATCTCATTAATCTGCATATTCTATTAGAGCTTGCAATGTAAGATTTCTCTGAGATAGTTCAATGCAAATGTAGGATAAAAATAAAACTTACTGTTGATCTGATTCAGTGTAATCCAATGCTTCAGCAGACTTAAATTTTTAAGTTTGTTTAATTTTCCCAGATGAGATAAGACCTATAGATGTTGGCCTAGACAATGAAGCACAGATTGCTCGTAATTGGAATAATTCAACGCGTCAACCAAATGGAAGAAGAGGACGTAATGGGGCTAACCAGTTCACATCTCCAATCAAATATTTACACATTCATGAAAGTGAAAGTTTCTCTGTAAGATATCATCATCATTTTTTTAAGATCGTGATGTTTTTTATTTGAACTGTTCTGTAAGTACTTTGAGGCTTTAAAATTAGTAGATAGAACACTCCTGTGTTTCAGCATCTGATGAACACTAAATTTTTCAATATATGTAGATGGGTATATTTTGTATGCCGCCGTCATCAGTTATTCCACTTCACAATCACCCAGGAATGACAGTTCTGAGCAAGCTTCTCTATGGCACACTGCATGCTGAATCTTATGATTGGATTGATGTAACTGATCCAACCGATCAATTACAGGGTGAGCTTTGATGTTTGAATTCATGTTGTTCACTTATTCTGCCACATAACAGTAGTTGTCCATATTTACCATCTATTTGTTTAATCCTTTCAATGGATGACCAATAGTCCAATTACTGGCTACTTCAAATCAGTTGTTTTTGCACAACTCAGTTGAGCTTGTTTCTATGTTGATATGTAAAGGTGTGCAGAGCGCAAATAGATATCATATGTTTCAGTATATCATATCTAGCAAACATGTTTGCAATTAAGCATGAGCCTTTAATCTTGCCATTGAAGTATTAAAACCCCCGTTTTCTATATACACTTTGTTTTTTATCCAAAATTTAGCTTGGTTTCTTAAATACCTCATCTTAATTACCTGTCTGTTTGACTAAACAAAATCTAATTGTTCTTTCAAAGTACTTCCCAAAATGTCATTTTCAGCAACTACTCATTTATGCTCTACTGTCATCTGCTTCTACTTACACGGCACCTTCTATCGGTGACTGATAACATGGTATTTTTATTCATACCCTGCAGAACTTTCAGTGAGACCAGCAAGGCTTGTCAGAGACCGTGAAATGTCTGCTCCAGAGACCACCATTCTTTATCCCAATAGAGGTGGTAACATCCACACTTTCAGAGCGATCACACCTTGTGCTCTCTTTGATGTCCTTTCTCCTCCTTATTCTGCTGAGAAGGGGAGGGACTGTTCATACTTCCGGAAGTCTTCAGTAAGGGAAACACCACCTGGTATGTAGAGATCTTATAACTTGAACTTGTTATTACACCACTGCTGAGCGCTGTTCTAACTCCCGCCCCCCACCCCGTCCGATATTCCTCCAGTTGTTTTGCCTGGTGAAATAAATAGCGCAGAAGTAATTTGGTTGGAGGAATTGGAGGACCATCAACCTCCAGAGGGCTTTGTTGTCGCGAGAGGTTTGTATAAAGGCCCTGTAATAAGGAGATAGTTAGGTTCGAAGCACGTCTGTCCACGAATCACGAACCAGTTGACGATGCAGCTAGGTTCCTAGCTAGTATCTGTGTCATGTGGGTTAGTATAGAGCAATGCATCGTTGAGTCACTCATCTGCAACCTGCGATTTACTCTGTACATGTCAATGCAAAGTGATCTGGTGAAGATTTAACTGCCAGGTTACAAAACAAGAACGAAAAACTTTTATGGTTGACAGCCAGATGTTGTTCTATAACATAGTTGAGTGGCCCCCCCTATCAGCTGGAGGTTGTTACTTTTTTTTGTGTCGACTTGCAGAGCGCCTTGTCATGCTGTATTAGGTAACCTCAACGGCAGAACCTTTTCACCTATTGATGATTTCAGAAATTGAGTTGGTGTGTGATATTTGTCTTATCACATGATGTGACTTTTGTACGCACCGTTTATTACTGGACGTGGTATCAGTTTATGAAAAAAAAAAAGAAAGCATGCCGGGACCTTGAAATTCAAATTATTTCGATGATTTTACCAACTACTACACCTGTCTGGGCCTGCAAACTGAAGTTCAGAATGGTTCAATCAAATTGCTAGGGCTTGCTAATGGACCATGATTTTCCCAAACTGCCAAAGGCTGGTAACCCAATCTGAATCTCCAAGCCCAAGTCCACCAATAATGTACAGTACTACCTAGTAGACCAGCACCACTTGTCCTGATTTGTAGTGGATGTGTCACGTCACGTCTCCATGTTATTTATGGGATGGATGGAGTAAGTAGCATATTCAGTTGACTAACTAAAGGTGGCATCTACAGCAAATACTCCCTTCGCCCCATATAAAAAACCAATCTAGTATTGAATGTTTGAATTCGTTGTACTAGGATGTGCTACACCCGATCTTAGGTTGATTTTTTATGGGATGGAGGGGGTATATTGCTACTTATGATGGGATCCAATGAATATGGACAGAACCGTAAGTAACAATATTTTATGACGGATGAAACCAGACGGCTAGAGATTCACAGATAAATTTTACATCTTATGATAAAAAAGAATCAACATGAACAACTTGATTTGATAGATGTACGTTTAAATTTTTTGACAAAATTGTATCTACCTGTTTCAAAACAATGTTTACTTTTTTTTAACAATTATTGCATTAGAGTGCATAAAAGCAGGGAACAAATGTATTGAAAGTGGATGAAGTGGGGGATAATTCCATTGCGATTTAAATAGTGAAGGGTATTTTATTTTTTTTATTTTTGTGTTGATATGTGTAGAATAAGTGAAAAATAAATTATTTTGATAAAGTGAGGAATATTTGTTTAACAAGGGTGTGCTGTAATTTGGCCCTGTTTTTTCTTATTAAGATACAAATTATATCTCGGTTTTCGTTAGTATGCTTCTTATAGTGTTAAACGGTTTATTTTACAAACAAACTTTTCTATTGCTTTAAAATATTAAATATTTTTTTCAAGTTTATAATATATGCTAATGTTCGGCTCCGTTAGAAACAAACATGGCCATAGGCTTGTTTTTGGTTGGCAACTAAATTTGTCATACCAAACTTTAGACAAGCAAGGGTTTTAGTAGAAAGTGTTTTGTTTCTGTCCTAACTCTACTTTACTTAACTCTCAGCTACCTAACCCACATTTTATACACTTTATTTACTTACCTAACTTTATCTAATCTATGTCAATTTATTTGTCATAAAAACATGACAATACTAAACTTAACCACCATGATCTATCTATAACTCTATAACCATGCTAATTCGGCATTTTCTACGAGCTCTCATGTTAATTAGAAAAATCTAACCATCGACTAGAATAGTCATAAAATTTGAATCATAGATCCATTATAATTTAATGCATTGAGATAATCTTCCTTTGTAATTTTGTGGGCTCATCAATCCGTAGAGACGCAGTTGTTCATGACTTCCTGTTGATCTCATCTTATCGCTACCTCAGTTGCCGATATGATCACCAAATCGATAACACAAGCAGAATTTACATGGCAAGTCCCAACGTGAATGAACACGAGCGCATGGGACTTCGGCTGTAATGGGATCGAGATGCTCTAGTCGACCTTGATTTGGACTACCGCTGCTACTTCGCGTTTGCTTAGTGAGTATTATTGTGTTCAAGTTAAAAAATATTAACAACTATATTTAGCCGTAGTTCAAATTTTCCATCCAAAGCACGATTCCTGAGTAGCTATATCAAAAACAACTGTAGAGAAAAACATTTTCTACTTATTTAGTTTGATTTATATATCAAAATTCTTTCGGTTTACCATTAGAAGCACTACCTTCTAATTCAGTAATTTATTCCCTTGCCGTACTTTGCATACTCTAGAGATATGCACGATTAAGGCCATTAACCAGCTTATGCAAGATTTTTCAATTACCTCTCAATATCATTTAAATTTTCATTTGTATATTTTTATAACACAGTTAATAGTAAGTGCTATAGTAGAAATTAATTATTTTTTTTGAAAAACGTATGAACACAGACGCTCAAAACGCGCGTGCACTCACACGGGTGGATTGGTTCCACCACAAAGAATCTAACCAGTTAAGCTATGCTTACTTCACCAGTTGAAATTAACTATATATGTACGGATTCACCGGTCATTACTTTTAGTCTCTCAAAGATTCATAATTCCAAAATTCATAATCAATAAATATGAAGCTGTATCCATCTTATGCTCTTAATATATTATTTGATTAGTTCAATCCAAAATTTAAAATTAATAGTAATTAGCAAGTTATATGGGCTCTATCAAAACCGCTATTTTTGTTTCTTTAAAAAAAAACTAATGTGAACATATTCACTCACAACAACTGGGCTCTTTATGTCAGGATATATTAACCGTCCATCAATTAGATCGAATATATTATGATAATATATCTTACTGGGAGTTTGTATCAAACAAAACATACAAGTATAAATTAATATCTCCAATCAATTTATTATTCTTTAATTTAATTCTAAAATTTGAAATTAATAATTGCATGTTCTAATTGAGGCATGGGCTCTTTGTTTAATCTAAACAGTTTTACCTAAGAAAATATCCATTGCATTTAACATGCGGTTAAAATTCAGTATTTATAATAATAAATTTATAATAATAATAGCTCGTACAACGTACATGCTGACGGCTAGTAAGGGCCTGTTTAGATCCCCTAGCAAAATTTTACACCCTGTCACATCGAATGTTTGGACTCATGCATGAAATATTAAATATAAAAAAAATAACTAATTACACAGATTACGTGTAAATTTGAGAGACGAATCTTTTAAGCCTAATTGTTTCATGATTTGACAATGCGGTGCTACAGTAAACATTTGCTAATGATAGATTAATTAAGCTTAATAAATTTGTCTCGTAGTTTACAGGAGGAATCTATAATTTGTTTTGTTATTAGACTACGTTTAATATTTTAAATATATGTCCTTATATTTGATGCGACACATCAAAACTTTACACCCATAAATTTAAGCACCTCCTAACAATATAGACCCTTAAACCCGAGCCAGCAGCGAACGATCAAATCGAAGAGCGATGCGAACCAGAACCAGAGGGGAACCATAGGTGAGATTGAGATGGCACCCAAATCTTATGCGAACCTGTTAACCACCATGAGCGGCATGCGGCGGCGTGCGCTGTGTCAGGAGTCAGGAGTGGCTTCTGTCAGGAGCTTGGAGTCTCCCTCCATGCAAGTAGCCAAAACAATAACAGAACCGAGATGTCCCCCGATCCGCACACGTAGCAATTCTTCAAAGCTGCAGTAATGAGTGTACAACGCTATGATAACAGTTCTAAAAAAAAAACACTATGATAACTCTATTATAAGTGACATTGCTATTTTATATACTCACCATTGCTATTTTTCCCTCTTAAATATGACAGTAGGAGAAGAGGAAGATTCTGTAGCATGCTGACATTCTTAGCAGATGAATGGAGAACCGATCGAACTATGTCACGACCCTAATCAACTGTTTGTGATATGTTACTTGGGACTACTATACTATAATGGTTTTCGTTGTTATTTAACTGATAGGACAAGACCCTAATCCTTGTAAAGTATTAAACTCTCATTTAACCTAAATTCATACCGATATATGTTTTATACTGGATATGAATATGTGTACCAATCACCAATCCAAGAATTGGTACACAAAAACATATGAAATTTCCAGTTGTCAAAACTGGGGGCTGACAGAATGTCTTCTTGTTCAAATAGAACTCGGAAAACAAAGTATGGATATAATCCAAATATACTTGGTAAGATAAAAAAGGACTTTATGTTTTTTTTCTTATCTAGGATTCATTCCTTACCTACTTAAGATTATTGCTATATGAACGAGGTTTAATTTCGTACATGATTTGGTATACGGTGGATTGATGGTCCTGTCGAGTTGAGTAAATAAGTACAAGGGTATTCCATATCTAGTACACTAAGAGTCGGTTATGTTTTCTTAAAAAAGTCAGACACATAAAACAATAAATTATACCTTATGTTCCTAAAATTTATCTCTTATGCAATATTTTTTTCAAAAAAAATGCTATAGAACAATATGACTTTACGGATTTAGCTGTAAGATATTGCAACAATAAATCTTTGGGGAAACACATAGTTGAAATGTGGATATTTATTGGGAAACACCATCCACACTATTTTATTCTTTATGGGAATATCCTCGTATTTTCACTTATGCTTGTATTTATCAGGCAACTTGAATTTTTAACTTTATATTTGGTGTTAATTTTAGGGTTTTTTTCATCATGGATTATTTTTCAATATCTGATATGAGACCTAGTGGGCATGATTTGGTAGTAGAAAGGAATCATGCAAATTGGCTATGTCGGCGGGCACACGCCCGCGCGCGCTTATTAGCGGTCAGGACGATGACGAGCTAGAGGAGACCGGCGAGCTGCCGCCCATATGACGTCACAGTAGAGCTCGATCGTACTCTCTCAGCCTAAAAAGATAAATCTAGATGTGAATAATCCGAATATACAACAAATCTAAATTGAGATATTTTCAAAAATATTGTACTATAACATATTATATTCAGTATTAAATTGATTTTTTACGAGACGGATGAAGTATTTGGCAGGTGTAGTACGATGACATTCCACTTCGGTGCCAGGGTTGACCCGGCACCCTCATATAACATATAATCTTACGTGATTAGCTGCATAATAAATCAGCTAGCTAACCGCCCAATAGTTCTTACTTAGATTATTTGATTATATAATTAACTAATTTATGTGGTACAAACCTTTAGTTAAAATTTAAAAGGATGAATAGTGGTAGTCAATTAAACTGGTGTAGTTTAGTGGCACTTATTTTAAAATATAATTTACTCTTCATACATACACATATACATATAAACATAGAATGTGTTGAAA